CAGCACTGTATCAGCAGTAAAGTCCTACAAGTTCCTGGGCTCCACTATCTCCCAGGACCTGAAGTGGATATCCAACATCAGGACCACCACCAAGAAGGCACAGCAGAGGATGTACTTCCTGCACTAGCTCAGGAAGTTCGACCTGCCTCAGGAGCTGCTGATGCAGTTCTACAGAGGAATTATTGAGTCTGTTCTCTGCACCTCCATCACTGTCTGGTTTGGCTAAGCAACCAAACAGGACAAGTACTGACTTCAGCGGACAGTCAGGACTGCAGATAAGGTCATTGGTGTACACCTGCCCTCCATGGAGGACCTGTACACCGCACGGGTCAAAAGGAGGGCGGAGAGGATCACTGCAGACCCCTCACACCCTGGACACAATCTGTTTGAACTCCTCCCCTCTGGATGGCATTACAGGTCACTGTGCACCAAGACAACCAGGGACAGGGACAGTTTTGTCGCCCAGGCCATCACTCTGAACATTTAAACAATGACAGTATAACTTGACAATAACCCTCAGTGCAATACCTGTAAATATACATCGTACAGATAATACATATTCGTACAGGTCTCTATTTTTAAGTACTATATTTTTATTCCTATTTATCTCATTTCAGAATGAGCATTCCTTGTCTGTCTGCATTGTTTACTGTCTGTTTATACTGCTTATTTGTTTGTTAATACTTATTTTGTTATACTAGCCTTATGTTGGTTTACTGTTTACTTGCCCCTTGCATGGGGATATATACATGCACATTGAGAGCTGATGTACCAGAGTCAAATTCCTTGTGTGTCTGACACCTGGCCAATAAAGCAGATTCTGATTCAATATATTGAATCATAACCTATCATGACATGCATCATATAGCCAGATTTCTGCCAATACACAGCCTTAGTGTGTTTACACTCATACCATGAAGCCCTTGATGGTACGATAGTAAGGGTCCATGAGGAGCACCCCCAGGGAGCAGACCTGGGCCGTTCTGTCCCATCCATCTGAACAATGAACCAACACACTGGCTCCTTCAATTGTCACTGCCTGAAGAGAAGACAGACAGTGAAATACTGTAAAATGATTTAAACAAAAACAAACAGTCCTTGATGGTCACTGTCTATGGCAGTCATTATGGTGACTACTATAGGAAGATGCCACAGGTGGGGGGTGCCTTGACGAGAAAGACGGCTGCGTCTACAATGGCCTTGATATGCCGAAGCCAGCCGCTGCTCTCAAGGCCAACCAGGTAGTCGCTCATGGACAGAGACCGAGTCCCAATCACTGAATGAGACATGCGCATCAACTTTACATAGATAGCACCTTACATAAAGGCTCAAGTAATTCAAAGTGCTTTAAAAAATAAATGAGAATAAGGCAGATTAAGAAAATTAGGTACAAATTAATTTAAATAAATAAATATCAAATTAAAAAATAAACAGGAATTAAATAGTAGACAAAATAAATTACATAAAATATATAAGAATTATTAGTAGATAATAATAATAATACAGAACATAAGACAGCACTGTATCAGCAGTAAAGTCCTACAAGTTCCTGGGCTCCACTATCTCCCAGGACCTGAAGTGGATATCCAACATCAGGACCACCACCAAGAAGGCACAGCAGAGGATGTACTTCCTGCACTAGCTCAGGAAGTTCGACCTGCCTCAGGAGCTGCTGATGCAGTTCTACAGAGGAATTATTGAGTCTGTTCTCTGCACCTCCATCACTGTCTGGTTTGGCTAAGCAACCAAACAGGACAAGTACTGACTTCAGCGGACAGTCAGGACTGCAGATAAGGTCATTGGTGTACACCTGCCCTCCATGGAGGACCTGTACACCGCACGGGTCAAAAGGAGGGCGGAGAGGATCACTGCAGACCCCTCACACCCTGGACACAATCTGTTTGAACTCCTCCCCTCTGGATGGCATTACAGGTCACTGTGCACCAAGACAACCAGGGACAGGGACAGTTTTGTCGCCCAGGCCATCACTCTGAACATTTAAACAATGACAGTATAACTTGACAATAACCCTCAGTGCAATACCTGTAAATATACATCGTACAGATAATACATATTCGTACAGGTCTCTATTTTTAAGTACTATATTTTTATTCCTATTTATCTCATTTCAGAATGAGCATTCCTTGTCTGTCTGCATTGTTTACTGTCTGTTTATACTGCTTATTTGTTTGTTAATACTTATTTTGTTATACTAGCCTTATGTTGGTTTACTGTTTACTTGCCCCTTGCATGGGGATATATACATGCACATTGAGAGCTGATGTACCAGAGTCAAATTCCTTGTGTGTCTGACACCTGGCCAATAAAGCAGATTCTGATTCAATATATTGAATCATAACCTATCATGACATGCATCATATAGCCAGATTTCTGCCAATACACAGCCTTAGTGTGTTTACACTCATACCATGAAGCCCTTGATGGTACGATAGTAAGGGTCCATGAGGAGCACCCCCAGGGAGCAGACCTGGGCCGTTCTGTCCCATCCATCTGAACAATGAACCAACACACTGGCTCCTTCAATTGTCACTGCCTGAAGAGAAGACAGACAGTGAAATACTGTAAAATTATTTAAACAAAAACAAACAGTCCTTGATGGTCACTGTCTATGGCAGTCATTATGGTGACTACTATAGGAAGATGCCACAGATGGGGGGTGGCAGTACCTTGACGAGAAAGACGGCTGCGTCTACAATGGCCTTGATATGCCGAAGCCAGCCGCTGCTCTCAAGGCCAACCAGGTAGTCGCTCATGGACAGAGACCGAGTCCCAATCACTGAATGAGACATGCGCATCAACTTTACATAGATAGCACCTTACATAAAGGCTCAAGTAATTCAAAGTGCTTTAAAAAATAAATGAGAATAAGGCAGATTAAGAAAATTAGGTACAAATTAATTTAAATAAATAAATATCAAATTAAAAAATAAACAGGAATTAAATAGTAGACAAAATAAATTACATAAAATATATAAGAATTATTAGTAGATAATAATAATAATACAGAACATAAGATATAATACCAGAATGGCAATTTACTGACCCATTTAATTTACCCATTTAATTTGCACTTTTCTAATCATAAAGCTGCTCCTCATCATCTGTATAAATACTATGACATTTTTGTCTGTGTAGAAATATGTTTAACCTTCTAACAGTTTCTGCAGGCTGGTCCTCATTACGTGGATATTTTCAATTCCAACAAACTGGAAGCGGATGTTGGAGTAGTTGTCCTCGTTTTCGTAGCCTTTACCTGCAGCTCGATTAGCCAACGCATTTAACTGCAGGACAGAAGCAAACCTAGGTATATACAGTACGTTTAAAGCATTTCACTTTTAGTCTTAATCAATGAAAAAAAAAGCTGTGCTATTAATGATGAACACTGCACTTTATTAGGTGGTTTTGGTGTGGCTGTCACCCCCTTACCTTCGGCCTAGTATCCATGACGTAGACAAATCGACTGTTGTGGTTGGCTTTGCTGATTGCCTGCAGCATGCTCTCATCCTCTAGGCATCGTGCACTGAACCCAGACAGAGGCTGACTGCATCGGCACACTGCTGCCTGTAAAGAGTATACTGATCAGAACAATGACAGACACAAAAACACAAAACAATGCTGCTACAATCTCAGCTCAAACTAGAAAATGTGACCACACTGCACCCATTGTAGCACTTCATCTCTCTGTGTCGCACCTATACTTTAACCACGACAGCGCTCATGAGTCTGCCAAAGCCCAACAGATTAAATGTTTAATCTTCATTAAATTGACAAGCTCAAATTTCAGTAGCAACTCAGCCACTTAACTTGAACATTACGGGTATTGTGTTTCAACTTTTCAATCATAAATGGATAATTGATAATGACTAAGCCATTCTGGGAAGCTGCATATAGGCTGTGCTTGTGCTCATTCTGTAAAAAACCCAGAATTTCAAGCACCAGAAATGCACTGAATGCAAAGTACAGACAGTTCTGACAGTTCAGGTCTCCCTGAAATTTGATTCAGTGATTCCTAATCATTTTTGTGACCCTCTGACCTTTCATCAAGCACCAGTAAAATATCAGAACTGACATGTGTGAACAAGAAGTCTAAATAAGCAAATATCCATGAAGTGTATCAAGCACATACATGTTCATTTTGGACACCTTATTCCTGGATTCTGCATGTGTACAATTCCATTTGTTTAGCACATTCATGTTCATATAATCCAGGGAATACACCTTTTCTATTTCAGTAATCATGTGTCCCTTCTTCTAGTATCACCTTGTGGGAAATGTTTAAGTTTTAGCTCGATTACTAGCATGACTTTAAGACAATTATTTGCTGTAAAAGTGTTGTTTGTCTCTTTGACTGAAGAGTAGAGATGCTATGTTGCAATAATTTGGCTTTCGATCTTTATTTAAATGCTGCAAGTGAAAAAACATTCTATACTTTCAGCTAGGATGAAGGATTTATTCAAATGTATACTGTACTGCACCTGTAATAACAGGCTTGTTACTAGACTTTTTTTTTCTCAGAAATATTTTTATTAATTTTTTGAACAAAGAAACAGATACCAAAATGTGAACGACGGGCATCTAACATTGACAAGAGGTCTATTCCGTTCAGGAAGAGTAAACCTGTCTGGGTACAGTGAAAAGAGAAATGCGAACATTGCCCGAACATTTGCAATAAGAATAATACGTGCTTCATAAAACGATGCCGGGAGTCTGCCCTGTTTGACTGAGTCAGCTAGCACTGTACTTAGCTGTGGTGCGAGTAATGAAGAGAATGTCTTAAAGAATTCCGCGGGGAACCCATCAGGTCCCGGGGATTTCCCTGACTGCAATGCGGAAATGGCAGCTTCTAGCTCTTCTTTCGTTATGGGTTCATCCAATCTCATTTTACTGGCAGGAGAAAGGGTGGGGATATTTAGCTGATCCAAGAATTTATCCATTAATACAGGGTCATTCGAAGATTCTGAGGTGTAGAGTTGAGAATAGTAATGCCTGAATGCGTCGTTAATCTTTGCATGATCTGAAGTGATGCTGCCATCTTCCATTTTAATGTTCGTAATATGCCCCTTTGCTTTAAGACCTCTCAGC